AAGGAGGAACGAACAAGCATCGAACGCAAAACAAGGCTCACCTTAGCCTCGCCTACACACACACACACACACACACACACACACACACACACACACACACACACACACACACATGCGTGCTCGTTCTCATGTCTTGCACGTACCACAGCAACAAGTGAGATGATGGACTTGGGCGTCCTGACGCGCAAGCAGAAGATGGCGCTGACTTGCTGCTTCTTGTATGTGCGTGCGTGTGGTTGGTTGGCACGTTACTTTGCTGAGCAAGCAAGCACCAACCTGGGGTTTGTGGGTTCGTGCGCTATGTGTGTGTGTGTGCTCGAGTGGAGTGGGAAGGAGAAAGGTGGGCAACACGAGGTTCGCGCGCGCAAGAGTTTGTCGCTGTGATTGATGTGAGGTCGTGTGGTGTGTGCGTTGTTCGCAAGGCAAACCCGTAAGAAGCAAAGGAGAAGTTGTTGCGTTGCGCTCTTCGCGTCCCAGCAAAACCGAAAAGCACAACCGCAAGCAACAAGCAAAACCGCAAGCAGCCACGACACCAGCAACAACAAAACAAGAACAAGAACAAGACCAAGAAGAACAAGGGGGGTGATTGTTGTGGGACGGATTGATGGTGGATAACGTTCAATAGTTTTCTGCATCCTTGCAATCCCGGAACAACGGCGCTTTTCCACTTCTTGCACGCGTTCTCGAGTGAGTGGGGAACTCTCTAAAGCGTGCCAATGAGGCGTGTTTGAGGTTGGGTCAAGTGAATGGAACGTTTCGTTCATTTGCGTTGTGCAAAGAATGAAGACATCTTTGCAAGTCATCCCCTCAGGCCCAAACTGGGGTCCTCTTCGATGCCCATGACGTCATACACTTTAATTATGCATGGAATCATAAGCTACAAAGTTAATTATTGTTATTCTCCCAGTCTTGTTTGAGGTTTGGCGATGGCGTGGAGTTTGGTTGTGGAGTTTGGTTGTGGAGTTTGGTTGTGTTGTGCTGCTGCTGCTGTGCTTGCCTGCATGCGGTTGGCTGGCTGGCTGCTGTTTGTACGCTTGGTTCGTTTCACATCACTTGAGCTGCTTGGATCCACGTCAGTGCAAGGGATTTTAATTAATCAGTTCTGTTCACTGACTGGCCCATGCATCCTTGACACAGCAGGAAGGACGGTTTTGTTGCTGCTGAAGCGTCGTGTGTGTTTTGAAGCCAGCGTTCAAGACCCATTCCCAGACACCTTATCCTCCGAATTGAGTCCGCAGTGATGCGTGTGTTTTCGATGGCTGGCACCCTCCTTGCGGTGTTCTTGGCCCTTGTGTGTCTGCAACAGCAGCACGTGGCCAACGGCGCAGAGTGCCATGGCAAGGTGCGCGAATGAGTGTGTTTGTATGTGAATGAGTGTGTGTGCGTGCGATGCGATGTGTGTGTGTGTGTGTGTGCGTTGATTTTGTGTGTACGTGTTGTTGTTCTCGATCTGTTCCCTTTTCTTTTCTTTTGTTTAGCTTTTCTTCCCTTGCACCTGTACTCACATTCACACACACACACACACACACACATTCACACACACACACACACACACACACACACACACACACACACACACACAAAACAAACACACACACAGCCGGATCCAAATGCGAAGCCAAACCTCAATCCCATCTACACAGAGGCACCAGTGCTTGTGCGCAGCGTGAAGAACGCCAAGCTGTACACGGTTGGTGGCGGCAATGACACCATCAGCCTCGTTCACTTGTATGGCACCCCCTACGAGATGGGCTACGCCCACGGCATCCTGATGAAGGAAAACGCCACCCAGTTCATCAACGACGTCTGGGGCTACCTTGAGGACCAGGTGGAGAGCGCCATCAACGGCACCATCCACAACCTCCAGCCGTGGTTCCTCAAGCTCGTCGCAGACTTTGGGTGCGTCGCTAGCAGCTCTGTGTGACTGTTTGTGATTGCGTGCAAAGTGTTGTGTGTGTGTGTGTGTGCGTGTGTATGATTGTGATTCTGTGTGTGCGTGTGTGACATGTGTGTGATATGTGTGTCTGTTGTGTGTTTGCCTCGCTCCATGTAACACACACACACACAAACACAAACACACACACGCACAAACACACCCGCCCAAACACGTGACGACGCGCAGGCTTGACGTTGCGCTTGACCTGACGACGGATGCGACGCGGCCGTTTACCGGCGAGTACTTTTACGAGGAGATGCACGGCATGGCCGACGCCACGGGCCTCTCCTTCAAGAAGATCGAGCGCATCCACATGATTGGCGAACTCACAAAGGGCGCCTGCTCCATGTGCGTATGCGCACGCGTGCTGATGAATGTTTGGAGCGGGTGGATGGGGTGGATGGGGTGGTTTGTTTTGTTTTCGCTTGCTCATGCCTGCGCTTCTTTTGTGTGTGTGTGTGTGTGTGTGTGTGTGTGTGTGTGTGTGTGTGTGTGTGTGTGTGTGTGTGTGTGTGTGTGCGTGTGTGTGTGCGTGTGTGTGTGTGTGCGTGTGTGTGTGTGTGTGTGCGTGTGTGTGTGTACAACGTTCTCATCGCCCTCCCCGCGTGGCGCGTGCTGCGTGCTGCTCTTTCATCTTGATTGCTGTTCATCTGGCTGCAGGTACGGTGCCTGGGGCAACGCCACCCGCTCCACCAACAAGACCCTGCAGCTGCGCGCGTAAGTCAACAGATGCGTGTCTGTGTGTCTGTGTTCGTGCATGTACCTTGTGTGCCCCCTGCCCTTGTTGTCAAGTTTCTACTCCCCACCCCACCCGTTCTCCAACGTCCCTCCCATCCGTCTATCCTCACCCCTTCTCCCTCCCCCCCCCCCACCACACACACATCCTGTGCAGGCTTGACTGGGACATTGACGGCCCGTTCCGCAACTTCCCGCAGATCACCGTCTACCACCCGGTCAACACCACATATGGCCACGCCTTTGCAAACATCGGATGGACAGGCTGGATCGGCTCCATCACAGGTGCGCAGTGGCAAGGAAAGGGGGGAGGGGAGAGGAGGGGCGGGTGTTCTTGCGATGGTTTTATTTGCTTTGTTGGTTGGTTGGTTGGTTTGTTTGGTTGGTTCGTTCGTTTGGTTGTTTGTTTGGTTTGTTTGCTTGTTTGGTTGGTTGCGTTGTCTCTGTCTCCGACCACTCAGCAATGCCCGTCATGTGCTTGGAATGCGCCACCGCAACCATGTGTGTGTGTGTCTTTTTGTGCATTGCGTGCCAGGCATGAACTCGAAGCAGATGGCCATCAGCGAGATTGGCGTTGCCTTCCCCGACTCGACATTTGGCAAGGAGTCGCGCTTCGGCATCCCCTTTACATACATCCTCCGTGATATCCTCCAGTTTGATTCGGTCAGGGACGGGCATTGGTTGTGTATTGTGGACATTGTGTGTATTGTGTATTGTGTATTGCGTGTGTTGTGTATTGTGTATTGTGTACATTGGGGACATTGTGTGTGTGTGTGTGTTTTGCGTGTATTGTGCGTGTGTGTTGTGTATTTCGTGTATTGTGTAATGCGTATTGTGTGCGGTTTGTCTGTGTGTCTGTGTGTTTGCGCGCGTGCCTGTGTCTCTTTGACTGTGTCTGTCTGTCTGTCGTGTGACTGCACTGGCACATCGCATCACCTTCACGCCATCTCACTGCGACGATCATGTCCCCTTGATGACCTGCTTTCTCCCCATGACCAACCCCGTCCCCACCCCACCACCAGTCGCTGACGGCCGCTCTGCACCGCATCACCACCGCCAACCGCACGTGCGACCTCATCCTCGGCGTCGGCGATGGCAACGTGCGTGTGTGCGTGTGTGCGTGTGTGTTTGTGTGTGTGTGTGTATGTGTGTACCTGTGTGCGTGTGCGTGCGTGTGCGTGTGTATGTGTCTGCGTCTGTACCTGCGTCTGTACCTGTGTGTGCGTGTGTATTCCTGTGATTTGATCAGTGCATGTGCATGAGCGTGTGCCGGTCAAGCCACCACTGCTTGCGTACGTCATGTCGCCGCCTCGTCTCACCTGCCACCACCAACACCGCCCAACCAACCGACCGACCAACAGATGAAGGCGTTCCGCGGCATCCAGTACAGTGCTAGCGTGGCCAACTTCTACACAGACACAGACAACATGCCTGTTGCCGACTGGCACCCGCGCATCCAGGATGTCGTGTACTATGGCATGGACTGGCTGTGCCCGGGGTACTCGCAGGTGCTCGCTGCGCAGCTGCAGAAGCACCACGGCAATATCACCCCGCAGAACACCATCGAGGAAATCACGGCCATCACACAGACTGGTGCGTCTTGGCCCGGAAAGGGGGGGGGGGGTGTCTGTATGTCTGTACACGCGCTGAAAGGACTGCTTCTTGCCATTGGCGTTCGAGAAACGTATGGCGTGGCAAGCAACGCACTGTGTTGCTCGCAATTCCTCCCAACACACACACACACACACGTACACACACACGTACACACACACACGTACACACACGCGTACACACACGCGTACACACGTACACACACACGCGCGCACAACTCACGCACAACTCACACACAACACACACACAACACACAACACACATGCCTTGGTGACTGTGTGCAGGCGACCTTCACCTGGCGGTGTATGACCTGACGGACACGATCCTGTATGTTGCCAACGCCCGCCGCGACGGCGTCGATGGCCCCGTGAAGGCATACGACCGCCCCTTTGTCCGCATCGACATGAAGCCCGTCTTCGCCCTGTCCCAGTGATGGTGTTGCGGCCCTGGCCTCAGGGCGCATGCATGAGGGTGGCCTGTTGGGGTTTTCCAGTCCTCTGTGCAGTGTGTTGTCTGTCTGCCTTGGTATGGGGATGACTGCACGGTTCGTGGCTGATGTTTGTTTGATTTCCACCACCCCACCACTCTCCCTTCGTTGCTTTCCTTTCTTCTTCTTCTTGCTTTCCTTTCTTGCTTCTGTTACACTCAAGTCACGCGCGTCTGATTCACACACACACACACACACACACACACACACACACACACACACACACACACACACACACACACACACACACACACTCATACACATACACATACATGGCACACTCGTCACGTTTCCCCACAACCAAACCAACTCCCCCCCCCCCTTTTTCTTTCTTGTTGGTTGACTTCTCCGCCTTCTTTTCGCGCTTGCTGCGTTGCCCCAGCCAGGGCCTGCGCGTTGCATGCTTGTCCGTGTGCTGCTTGCTCATGGCTTGCATGCGCCTGACTCAAGACAGCGTCAGGGCTCGCATGCCTCACGCCCAACTTGGCTCATGGTTGCGCGGCCGTGCCTTCCATGGTGGATACGTTGTGCGCATTAGTCCCTTGTTGCCTTGTGCGAATCGTAGATACACGGTCATTTTTCTGCCGCTGCACACGAACACTCGAAAACAGTCAGGTTGGTTCGACGGCCACGCCACACCAAACAAACAGCAAAGCAGGCAGGGTCAGCGGGGTGGGAGGGTGTGTTGCTGGTTGGAGGAGTGTGTGTGTGTGTGTGCGCGCGCGTGCATGCGGTTGATGTGTTTGGTCTGCGTGTAGCTTCTTTGTGTTTTGGTTTGGTTTTGTCGGCTGCGTTGTTGTTGTTGTCGTCGTGCTGGTGGATGCTCATTTTCTTTCCTTCCTGCCGTGCCATCGTCCTCTCTCGTCTCTCCTAATCAACCAGCCAAGCCAGGTGAGCAGCGCTTCCTCATCGTATTGTTGTCGATGTCGTTGATGTTGTTTATTGTTGTCGTCGAAGTGGTTGCTGCTGCTGCTGCCCTTGTTTGTTGTTTGTTTGTCGTGGCCGTTCTTCCCCGCCCTTCACCGCCCTTCTTCTGCCATCCGCCTTTCTGATCCTGTGCTGTGTTTGGATCCACTCGCACTTACACACGCATACACACGCACATACACACACCTCATCGTCGCTTCGCGTTTTTGCATCGCACATGATATGACTTGATGATTGGCAGCATCCTCCCCCTTTCCTCACGACCAACACGATGAGCTCTGCCGTCCAGTTCCTCCGCGCCAACAAGGCCGTACGTCTTTTTCTGTGTATGTGTGTATGTGTGTGATGTGATGTGTGTGTGTGATGTGATGTGTGTGTGTGTGTGTGTGTGTGTGTGTGTGTGTGTGTGTGTGTTGCGTACTTTGTTTTCCTCTTCACGTCGTCGTGACTTGCACTCACACCCCTTCCCCCCCCCCCCCCAAAAAAAAAACACATCTTCAACGCACAACAACAGCTCCTTCCCCTCGCTGCGTGCGTCGCCCTCGGCACCGCCATGGCCTCTGGTCACATTCTCCGCAGGGCCCTCAGCGATCACACCCTCGCGTGAGTGTATTTGGATGCATCTGCGCCGTCTGACCAGACCTGGCAGCTCCTTGCTTCTTCCTTTCACACGATGCTCACGTGCATGTCATCCACACACCTCACCCACACGCACAAACACATAACAAACGACAGCTGGACCCGTGAGAAGACCTACCCATGGAACAACATCAAGAGCACACAGAACACAAAGGTGTGTTCGTGCGCTCCGTTTGCCTCCCATTGTTTCCCCCTGCGCTCTCAATGGCTCAATCTTGCACGCTGCCATCTCCGCAATGCCTCCGACTCTCACTGGCCACATCTCTTCTCTTAACTCTCACCTCTCATCCCTCACCAATCACTCTCCTTCCGACTAACACCACAATCCCCTGCCCACCTGCCCCACCATCCATCCATCCATCCAAACAGCTCCTTGGTCTCCAGGGCGACTACAAGCACGAGGAGGTGTTCAAGCCCCAGAGCGCCGATGATCTCCGTGGCAAGCTCTAAGCAGGCTGCTGGTCGTCTTGCTTGTCCTTGTTGTTTCTCGTTTTGATTGCCCCCTCCCCTCCCCTACCTTCCATGTGTGCGTGTGCGTGTTTTGCGCCTCCCATTGAACAACGCTTTTACGCGCGTTGTGATGTGAGCGCGCGAGCATGTACCGTTTCCTTTCTTCCCCTCTTCTCTCTTCTCTTCTTCTCTCCTCTGCTGGCGAGACTGTTGTTGTCAGCGCTCAAGCAAGCGAGGCGTGTCTCCGTTGTCTATGTCTTTTCCCTCCATAGAGGAACGAGACAAGCACGGCACTCCCTCAACTTGCTGCAGTGCTGCTGTCTTGTGTGTGTGCATTGTCCGTTTGTGTGGATGTGCGCGCTTCGTGTCACGTTCCCCACACACACCTCATCAAATCACGTCACATCCGTTGAATCTGCGTTTGGGGGCACGAGGCGGAAGCACTCTGCTCGGGTGCGATCACGACTGTCACGCACACACGCGTGTCTGTGTCTGTGTCTGTGTGGTTGAGTGCTGAGTGCTTGTTCAATTTGATGCTAGACTCTAACTTACACACAGAAAGACACCTTGCATGCGATGACAGAGAGAAATGCAGCAGCGTAACAACGGTTGCGACTGACATGATGTGGCAATACGACAAAGAGGGGGATAATGTAAAACTAGTGCAGACAAGACAAGACAACACAGCACAGCACACACACACACACACACACACACACACACACACACACACACACACACACACACACACACACAGAGCACACACACACACACACACAAAGCGGCTACTCGACGGGCTTCTGCAGGAGCGCCATGTTGCAGCCGATGGTGTCGGCGCTGCAGTCGATGTAACCACTCAGCTCCGTCTGCAGATCAGCAATGGCGGGCGGCATGCGATAGTCGCGCGCGCTCTCGTCCTCGCGTGGTGGGAGGCCGCGACGCAGGCCCATATCGTAGCTCAGCAGCACGTGGTTGCAGCCAAAGGCGTTGTAGCAGAGCGAGTGGAGGAAGAGGCGGCGGAGGGGATCAAACTCGGCGTAGCTGTACACGGAGCAGCACAGCGTCAGGCCCCTTATGGCATGTGTTTGTGCGTGTATGTGTGTGTGTGCGTGTGTGTGTGTGTGCGTGTGTGTGTGTATGCGTGTGTGTGTGTGTATGTGTGTGTGCGTGTGTGTGTGTGTTGTG